CCGCCTCCTCATCACTTAGACCTACGCCTCAATGCTTAACAGTCCTCAATACTTACACTAATCCTAACCCAGACCAGGGTCTGACAAACTAATTCAACGAATTCCCCTCCTATGCCTGTCACTACAGTCAGTACCGGTCCTTTGTGGATCTTCCTGGCATCCTCAACTGGTGGACCTTACGTCTCACCCCTACTTTGGTCGTGCATTATACAGCTGGCGAATCGTACTGCCCTCTACAACCCCTGACTGTGTCCCATAGAGTGTTCGGTCGCACACCGGTCAGTACCGGTCATTGGGCATAGCCGGGTTGTTTTACGAGCGCTCGCCACTCATTGCCCGTGCTCCCTACTAGGTCTGGTGATACATCCAGCTGCCGAGTTGCTACCCTAGACCGACCTACATTACACACGAAACTTTCACGTTCATGGGATTAGGGTCCCACTGGGTACCTATGCCGCAGGTAGGCCAGCAACCCTAACCACTTCCTCCACAAGGGGGAGGAGCCTTTCCTCCAGGAGAGATCGGTCTCTGACTCACCAAGCAACAGGCAGACCAAGTGCGACAGCTGACTCGAATGACAAGATGGCATCAACAGAAATTGATTTGCAGCAGAGGTCACCAGGAAAGGACGTGGGAAGGTACCATTGACAACAAAATCAAATTGCAGAGGGACCAAACAAGACCAGAGCCAAACTTCCTACTTTAACCAGGAGCAAAATTCCAGCTTCCCTTCTGAATCTAATGTTACCAACCAATTGGAGGACCTACTCTGGGCCCATGTTCTGAGAAACCATCCGAGTCCCTTTCCTCCTCTCTGAGGATCACTGATCCTTCTGTCCCAATCAGCCCTGATATACTGCCTAAGCCTCGCTCAAATCAGCGACTTCTTTTCAGTGTCTGAATGTCCCAAATAACTGAACAGATAATAGCCCTACACGCCTGTTCTACGTAGCCACAGCGTTCCATAGTGTGAACTGGGAGAGGGATTAGACCTTGTAAGGCCCAGTCTCTGTCCCAGTTCCAATCCCACGCTGCAAAGTCCTTCCAATGTACAGCCCACCATTCCCAAATGCGCCTTGAGGCCAGACAGTCCCACCACAGGTGAATTGTCAATTCGAAGGCCCAGTTTCATCTTCTGCATCCGATATGTATGTCCATGCCTTTACCCACCAACCACACTGCTGAAGGTGTCACCAAGAGAGAAAGAAGCCAGAGAGCCACTGAGTGTCTTTGGATGGCAGCTTCTTTCACTGACACCATAGTCTCGTCATACCCTTTAGCACTGTTTCCATAGAGCCTTCAATCTGAGTATTCCATCTTTCGGCTGCCACTGTGACTGGACGTCTAATTGAAAGCAGTAGTTCTGTTGTCTTCTTCATCTGACATAGAGGGAGCATCGTGCCGTCTTTTCCTAGGCCTCCCCATCCCCAGACCGTAGGGTCTAACTTGCGCTCAGCTAGAGGAAGATCAGACTCTGAGACAACTCGGCGCCTTCCTCCTTAGCCCAAGTTTCACTGATTTTGATCTGCTCTAGTGGGACGCCTACTGCCGGGCTGATGAACTCTTCCGTTTGGTCTTCGTCTTCTGACGATTCGTCCTCTTCTACCTGTACATGATGGAGTGGAGTATGGTGCCTTCCTCCACTCCTGAAATCTCCGTACACCCTCAACCGTGTAACCGGTCAGCTTCCAGTAGCTCGGCGGTTCTGATTGCGACTTCGTGATGTACCAAGTTCCGGGGGGGTCCACAGCTTCAGGTGTCAGCAGGTCCATCCAAGCCTGGGGGATTGCAGAAATGAGGTCAATCGACTCAATTCCTCTTTTATTCAACGTTGTCGTCGTTGTGCAAAATTTCCAGTTGCTGCCTCAAGGCAGGCGGGGAGACCTGGGTTCCTAGCAGGGGGTCCAAAAGATCACCAATCCTCAGGATACCCTCCTGAATCCATCTATCCCCAAACGTACCAGGGGACGTGTTCGCTCTGACACTGTTGCCTGGTTGATCGAGAATGTGGGGGTTGTCAAACAGAGGCTGATTCAGGACTTCTACTTTCGTGACTGGTTGGGACCTCTCTGTCGGTTTCAGTCTTTTCCAGGCCCTGACCACCCCTGACCAGAATCTAGAGTGGATCTTCCTGCTGATGAAGGTTTGAAGTTGGAGGCAGAGCCAGACATCGTTTTCTCGAGACAGGCCCCATTCCTGTGCTAGGATGAATTCTCCCATTAATACTCAGTGTTCAGAGCCCTCACTGTTCGCAGCCTTAACGATCCAGTTGGCAAGGAGCAGACAGTTTTTTCCTGCACGGGTCATTGACCCTCAGGCCTCCCTCTTCTTTGGGTTGGGATATCAGTTCCGATGCGACTTTACATAGTTAGCCTTGGTCGTGTTCCGCTTTGGGCTTCCAAATGAACTTTGCAGCCGGGAACACGCCGGGCAAACAAGGTGACGCGGGCGGCCTTTTGGTGACAGCCAGGAAAGAGGGACTCACCATCCGAATGGATCCCACAAAATTCAGGAGGGAGAGAACGGCTGTGTTCACCACCAATGCTCGCCCAAAAAAAAAGCGAACGAAAAAAAGAATGGAAGTTTGACATTTGGAAATTCAGTTATCGACGGCTACCAGCCGGGCCGCCCGGATCACCTTGTTTGCCCGGGCGGCCCGGCCGTGCAAGGGCCAAAAGGTCCCAGCAAAAACAAAAAATCCAAAAAATCTGAAAAGAACAAGTGTGTTATGCAGAAAATAAACTGAACAACTTTTGCCTCAGGGTCCCAGAGAAATTCTTTACCAAATTTTAAAATAAACAATAAACTTGAATAAAATTAAAAAATATTAATATATTATTTTAATTTATTTTTAATATTTTTATCAAATTTAAATTATTTAATGTTTCTTTTTCTAATTTTTTTTGCCCGGTCAGGCCAGTGGTCCTGGGCCACTCTGGTGGCCTAGTCGATGCGGTGATCATAAAAAATTAAAAAAATAAATTAAGAAATTTGGTTTCATGACTTCACCTGTGTGATGGCAGTGATGCAGTATGCCTGAAGGATCTGATGTTATATCCACACACTGGTCACACATTGGTCTGTTCTGTCCTTGGACTTGCTCTCCATCGCTGACTTGCTCTTGGATTGGATATCATCATGTTCACATTGGTTGCGGACTCCACAGAATCGCGTATACAAAGATGGGCGGATACATGCCACAGGACTGGGCAAGCAAAATGAAGCTGAAGGTTTTTGATGCGCAGGGCGCTTTCTTAGACGGTCGGATACCAGAGTCGTTCATCAGGCTTCCGGAGTTAATGGTGGTTGATTTACGGGCGAATAGACTTTCTGGAGAGCTTCCACCACTCAATTATAATGACACAAGGTCAGTTACCGAGGGCACGCTCACACAAGCACTTTCCTAAATGTATCTGACTGCAATTACGACCAAACCCCTCGATGAATCTGACCGTTATCCAGTCCAGACCCCTGAGGTTAGTGAGAAAAGTCCTCATGTGGGAATGCCTTCACCGGTTCCTTTGCGCACTTCCATTTGTGTGTTTTGAAGTTGCACCACAACAGCGCCTCTTCCACCCAAATGAGCAGATCCAAAATCAAAGCATAAATAATGCAATCCTTTTGCAGACAACGAACGCCCTTGAGTTGAGACACGGTACAACAATGAAACAGTTTCTGCCTCTATAGCAAGCAACATGGATTATAATAGAGGCATCTAATATGTGTTTTGCCATATTATTAGCGATACACTGAAAAGAAAAGCATGAGTGTGCCAGACTGTTTCGTCGGACTTTCACCGACTCAGCATGTATGTGTGTTGTCATGTTCGCTATACACAACTCCGCAAAAAAACGCATGACTGTGCCAGGCTGTTTTGTCGGACTTTCACCGACTGATCAGGAGGTCGAACCTGGACAGACAGTCTGCCCCGGATGCATTTGACTGATGGATAAGCACTCTCACCACATCGCCCAGAGGTAGCGATACCCACCCTCAAGAGAGAGAAAAGTGGTCGACTTTACTTACACCAACCCTGCAATCCTAGCAGACTGCCGGTCCAAACCCCCGACAAGAACAGCTGTAAGTCTGAAAAATGTGTGTGTGTGTGTGTGTGTGTGTGGCGGGGGGTCTGGGGGTGGGGCTGTTGACATGGATGATCAGCAAGATAATGCAGTTTCAGGTTGCTGGCAATCCACTGGTGGGCCCAATTCCGCAAACGTATTCCCGGTTCCTGGCATTCCAAGCAAGTACCAGCATTGGAATCCCGGGCATCTTCAATGTGAGCGGTACTAATCTCTCAGGCGAGGCTCCACAGTTTTTGTGGCCCGGATATGTCCCGAACACTACAGAGGTATCGTTGGGGCCGTCAAGGCTCACATGTCCATCGAACGGACCGGACCTCCAGGAGTTTGGCTTAGATTGCGCAGCGCAGGCATCTTTCGTTAATGACGCTGACAATGGGAGATTGCGGACGCCGAGGAGCCAGTTATCGCCGGGAGCAATTGCCGGGATCTCAATTGCTGTGATTTTTGTCGTGACTGCGGTCGCGGTCGCAGTGCTGGTTAATGTACGGAAGCTCCACCGTCCACGGATTCCATTCAATCGGCTCTATGGCACTGTATAGAGAAAGAATGCGTGAAGTGGCAATCACCAGAAGGAGTATGCATGGTGGGTATGGTTTTTGAATTGCTGTCTCTCCTTTTGTAACTTTTCCGTACCTTTCCCACAGTTCCCCCCCCCCCCCCACTTTCCTCTTGCGTTTTGTCTCTGTTTTTCACCATTTTTTTTTCTCGGTTCTCTTCTCCATTGTTCTCCATTTCTTTCCTCCACTTTTTTTCTCCATCCTTTTCACCATTTTTTTCTCCATTTTTTCTCTGTTTTTCTCCATGTTTTTCTCCGTCCTCTCTCAGTGTCCTCTGTTCTCCGTTTTTTTCTCCGTTTTTTTCTCCGTTTTTTTCTCCGTTTTTTTTCTCCGTTTTTTTTCTCCGTTTTTTTTCTCC